GTCCCAATACGGACCCCTGAGGGACCCCATTCGTCACCGATTTCCATCTGGACATTGAGCTGTTGACCACTATCCTCTGGATGCGACCATCCAACCAATTCTTCACCCACTGGACAGTCCATCCTTCAAATCCATATCTCTCCAATTTAGAGGGAAGGATGTTGTGGGAGACCATGTCAAAGGCCTCACAGAGGTCCAGACAGATGACATCTGTAGCCCTTCCCGTGTCCACTGATGTAGTTTTAATGATTTTAATGTAGTTTAATGAATTAGTTTTAATATTCTGACAGCTTCAAACATGACTGCATGAACAACTCTGTTGGCAGGGCAGTCTGATAGCTGGAAAGCTCTATTTGGCAGAGGATGACAAGTGAGTGCTGCAGTCCCAGAGTGCTGTGTTAGCACAGCAGGTCTAAATGAACTTTATTTCATGTTCCTCATAAATCCTATTCTCCAGCCAATTCCTTGCTATCTGTTGATTTATCTTTCTGTTTTCTCACTTCCTTGATTACTTGTGTGCAATGACTTCATTGCCCTTGTCCAAAATCATAGCAAAGGGATGAGGAACTGAGTTTGATTTTTTTTTTTTTTTTTTTTTAATTCATGCAAGAATCTAATAATGATTTTTGTTTGTTAACAAGATAAGCATTTGATCACATCTTCAAAGAAGACACGGGCTGTCTAACTGATAATATAGTTCTCCTGCATGAATTTGTGCTAATTTCTTATCACCTCAAGCTTTCTGTTCAATCGGCGTAGAAGCAGCTGAGGGTTTTTTAAAAACAATTTTAGAATGAGGCTTTAGTGTTTCAGAATAGATCATACTGTGTGCAAAATGCTTTACTTCTGACTGAAAAGCTGATTGCTTAAATAATTCAGAAGCGTAAAGAACTCCTTTTAAAACATACTAAAACATGTTTACTATAATAAATGTTATTTAGCAAAATAATGTTTAAAATAATTAAAACATTATTTTACTAACCTTTTCCTCCTTGAACTTGTTTTACTTAGATATTGTATATATTTTTAAAATTTTTTTAGTAATTTTAGTTTTAATAATTTTGTAATGGTACTTGGTATCACTTTGGTGACTCAGTTCTTACGGTTTTAGTACAGAGAGCTTTATAGATGCTGTATGTAGCCACAACTAGACTAGATACCGCGAAAGCTGAATATTTAGATATTGAAGCTTTGTTTCAGTGTGTGCAAAAACTTTGGACTATAAAGCTATTATACTGAAGGGGCTGCATGACATACAACACTCGCTAGATATTGACACTGAAAATATTTTGGGGTGAAGGGAAAGCTCAAACCATTGTATAATGTACAGTATATGATGTGGTATTTTTATGATGTTCTTTAAACATTAACCGTTTAGCAATTTTATGATTTGAATATGAACATGGATGTTTGCAATCAAGTCTCTTCTAAACTGGCCCTTGCTTAGGCGTTAGTTTCTAGAGATTCATGCAGCTCTCTTTTCCTTTCCATTTATAAAACTTGCATTATTAGTCTATGATGTGGGAAGCATATTTTTTGGTACAAAACCAGCATATTTTTGTAATTGTAGTTTGATTTTATTTTACTTGTAATGATGCCTTCATATCTATGCAGCATTGAAATAGGTATTCCTAAGACTGCCTAAGAAATCTATGCCTTGCAAAAGCATCTTCCTGTGGGGACGCAGAACTCCCATGGCATAAGGCCTTTTTTTTTTTCCTTGATATCTTTTAGTGCTGCACTAATTGTAGCAGATGCACGAACCCCACAGTATCACTGTTTATTGATACTACTATCAGCATCCTAATGGAGAACTGGAACTCTGTGTAACTAGATCTTCCCTTTAAAGCAGAAAAATCCTCTTTCCTGTCTTCCAGTGCTAAGTTTTTCAACCTAGGTAGGGAATTGTCTTCAAACAAAAATGTAGCCGTATCCCTTGAGAATGTAGCACACCCAAAGGCCTAGTTTTCTCAAATACTTTAAGATTGCATAAACTGGCACCACTGCCAAAAGTGATAGTCCCATCTAGTCCTTTTGTTCAAATATCTCTTGTGTTAGTTCATGAGTTTGTGTGATTGCAGTGAACCAGATGAGGAAGATTTACTTTTTTTCTTTTGAGCTAATTTTAACCAAGATCAGGACTTCCCTCCATGTGCTTAATAGTGAGAGCAGCTCCACTGTGGACCAGTTTCGGCCACTACAGAGCGGCATCCTCAGCAGGATATGCTTTTGTTGTACATTATAGCAAATAATTCCTGTATCTTTGTGCAGGAGAATTGATTTGCACACACATGTAATGTATCCCTCAAGTATCAACTTAATTAAGATAGTATTTCACATGCATTGTGTTAAATACAATTTTGCAATAATCAAGTTCACCTTAACATAATACTAAATTTGACACATACCCAAATAAATCAAGGAAGTGTGGCCTCTTCTTTCCTTTTTAACTTTTTTGTGGCACCTTTAACCATCTTTGTTTCCTTGCCTGTACCTTCTTCCTTTTTCCAGGGAATATTTAATCAGACGTATAAAAAAACTCTTCTGCTATTCAAGTGTTTTTTCTTCAAAGTGCATTTTGCTTAATGTCGTCACGTGATAGATTTGCATGGTTGGCTTGGAAATGTTGAGTCAAGTTTCTCCCTTCCCATTTCTTTTGCTTTTCATTTGGGATAACAGATAAGAATAATTAATCTGTGTATCTAAACAGCTATTAACTATTCTACTTATTTTCTGTGAAAAGTGAGCACGGTGGCAAAGACAGCAAGGACTGAAAGAAGTTTATTAGGGCATAAAGCAAGTTCTGTACTGAAAAGCACACTGATCATAGCAGAACAAATACTGGCAGCCCTGTCTCTATATAGCTAGGTACAGGTGTACTGGATTTCTCTACATTTTAATTATTGCACTTTGTCTGGGCCCCAGCCCTCTATGATGCAGACAGCAGGGAACTGGCTATGCTAAAATCTGGAACATCTCTTTCAGATTTGAAACTTGATTTCAGGTAGCAGGGTGTCCTTTGGTTTGTTATGTGATATGTACAGTTTCAAATACCATGCTCTTTTTCTTGTAGGTGAAGGTCAAGCTTCCATCGTATCTGCTACGACAATACTTCCTATTAAGTTTCATATTTTGTTTATACTTACCTTACGCTGAAAGCACAAACTGAAATCTTTTTGTAGTTAAGAAAGGCTGTGCTTTATTTTGTGGTTGCACAGCATATGTATGCATTTAGTGCTGTTACCTGTGGGACCAAGCACAGAAGCCATTAGGTATCGTGAGTTGCTGAGAATGAAAACAGGCCTTCAAGAAAACATCCTTTCTGCCCTTATGCTGCATCTAATATTGCTCCTACTTTTCCACTTGAATGTGTGGCAGTGCTGCATTGTCCTGTTGGCATGCATGAGCTGAGCTCTGCTCTAAGATCAGTGGTCATGGTGCAGAATAAGGGCTGCTTTCTTGGACTTACATTTTCAGTATTGGGTGTTGGTGTTTGTCTGCCAAATGACTCCAGAAGAAGAGAATTATTGCTGTAAGGGGTGCTGTAGAATTATCATGCCCCAGACAAATCTTTTTTTTATCGCCTCGTGTCCTTAAATTCCCTTTGAAGTCAAATGTGTCTAAAATGTGATAAATTAACAGGAATTGGCACCTGCAGACTTAAATGTTTGGGCTTCTATCAATATTTGCTGTGTTTGCGCATATATCCTTTTTTTTTTTTTAATTTGTAGACAGAATTATTGATAACTATTTTGTTCTGTTTCTGTAGAATGAAAGTAGCTTTAATCTGGAACTGCTGGATGGTGACAAAAAGATTTCAGTCTTTATGACTGCAATGTTCAACATGCAATTTTTACCATTACTGCTTGTCTTTTGCCTTTTGGGTCAGTGAGAGCAGAAAACAGTTCATTATAATTTTTGTAGTGATTTTAAAAGAATGTTATTCAATTGTATCATAATGTACTGGATGTAGCATTAATTGTTTAACCATAAGAGTTTTATTGCGTATAATGTGCTGTAATATTTACGTGTTGCTTTGTCTCTTGCAGATCTAGAAATGGCAATTGCATATTGGAATTTAGTTTTGTCAGGAAGGTTTAAATTTCTAGATCTTTGGAATAAATTTTTGTTGGTAAGTATGTACCATATTCCTTCCCAACTATCTTAGTCCACAGTAGTCTGGCTTGTAGGCTGTGCTTACAATAAAGAAAAAGACAGGAATACTTCCTTTGAACTTTTTCCTTTTTGAAAACGGATATAAAATAGTCTTAAATCAAGCTAAATTAAATCTTCTCTATGTAATTTTCTAATTGAGAAGAATGCAAAAAGATGTAGCAAAGCAGTAGAGCGTCTTGCTTCCTGGATCTTGTATCCTCCTACTTATGAAAGCTTCTGCATGAAATGAAGCCATGATTGTAGATTGAACCTCTGTTGTCTTTATTCTCAAGACAGCTGTGATTATTGTCAACCATGTATTTTACTATGCTCTGCCTTTTGCAGTATTAATGGATAAACTCAGTGATTTTTAAATGTCAATTCTGTTATGACTGACTTAACCTGAGAGACTTTTCTTTTTAAGCGAAAGTTCTTGTCTGAGTAATTATTTTGACTCATTTTTTAGATAATAGTTGTGAACTGATCTTGACAGTTTTCTATTACCAGTGCAGTTCTGTGGGCAGTGGAGTAAAGATGCATAAATTAAACTTTAGAAATCGCAAAATATTCTTATTAAAGACCTGATTCATTCATCCATGTTTCTACATTTCCATTTCTATGTACGTGCAAAAAAAATACCTTATATAATGTTACATAATGCATAATTTATCTTGATTTTTTTTTTTCCAATTTATCTTTTTATCTGTAGTTCAGGAGAATTAAGTTTTTCTGCATTTTGTCTCATAATCACCAATGCCTAATATGGAAAGTGTATACTTTTTGCAATATTTTCTGAAGTTTTTTCTAAATTTTTGGACAGTATATTTATTTTATTCACTAATAATGTGCCAGTTGCATCAAGAGAACTTGTGAAAACATTTCACATTTTAACTGCCTTAATACATCCAAATTCAGATCTATAGATGTAACTGAAGAAAAGTCCTAACTTTTTTTTCCCACTTGGCTATGTGATCAAGTTTGTTGCAACAGACAGTTCTGCAGATATCTACTTCAAGCAATAATCTAGATGATCTGGTATAAAGTGTCTTTGCTACAAATATTTAACCTGAATGTTTACTTTAGAAGAAGTGTTGGATTAAAAAAATTCAACCTAAGAACGAAGCAACTTAGGACTCTTTAGGATGGGGGGGGTTTGTTTGTGTTTCGTTTGTTTTAAGGAATCTTTTCCAGGAGGTATGTTTGCTTGTCATGTTTTTTTGCAGTCAAGATACGACATTTGGCTTGAGTGAGAGGACGTTTGCTGTTGTGTGGGACATCAACCTCATTTTGATCAAGTTCCAGATTTTTGAAACGCAGTTTATTCTTCTCAATACTTTAGAGTATTACTGCTTAAAAAAACCCAACCAACCAACCAACCAAACCTCACCCCACGACACAACCAAAACCACAAACACAAAAAACCCAACCCTTCACCGATCAAGTCTTTTCATGCAGTTGCAACTTTTTGCTGCAAACCAGAACTAGCTGTTGAACTTCAGTTCCCTATTAATCACCCCTGCTATCTTCAGGTAACATAGCAGTATCAACAAATGAAGGGAGATGTGAATGATTTGACTCGATCCTACAGCTCACAAGTTTAGTAGTTCTGATTCCCCACACACCCTCTCTTCTTGGGAGTGCTGACTTCAAAAGCTGAGAGAACACTGACTGGGACTGAAATTTTTTGGAGTGCTGCTCAAACTGGCCAGGGTGGCAACTGGTACTTGTGAATGGGGTGATGCAGAAAGAGTATACTTGAAATCAGACAAGCAAGTGGTAGTGGAGAAAAGGACAGACTGGGAAGAAGGAGACTGGACAGAAGTGGAGCAAATGCAGGTGGTGCATTATGGTGAGAATAGCTGAAGGCAGTCTGGGAGTAAGTGAGAAGAGTGTAGGTGCAACTATAACCAACAGGTTGAAAGAGAGACTGGGTAAGTGTACGTAGAAAGGGATAAGGAAAAAAGGGCTCAAGTTGATGTGGCAGAATGCTAACACATGGCTGCACAGTTTCAGAACCTGGAATGGATGCTGTTAAGTAGAAGTATAGAGTGCATTTGTTTTATTCTTTTCCATAACAAGTTAGGAACACATACCCTAAAAGCAGAATGGAAGAAGTAAACAACTATCAAAGACTTCTTACACTTTTTTGCCTTCTTTAGTTGCAATTTATTTTGTAGCTTTCTTTGGAAGCTCTGAGCTTTATTTTTTTTAAAAAAAAAAAAAAGAAGAAGAAGAAATACTTGTAAAACATGTATTTCTGTATATGTCAGTATAAAATACTACTGTGGAATTTGAAAATAGTTTGGATTGAACAGTAGCATTTTTCCTCCTTTATAGGAACATCATAAAAGATCAATTCCAAAAGATACTTGGAATCTTTTGTTAGACTTTGGAAATATGATTGCAGATGATATGTCCAACTATGATGAAGAAGGTAAGCAGTAGTTAAATATCTTCAAAAATTGGTACAGCAGAAATAAAATATTGCTATAAACAAACAACAGAACATGCTGCTACCTTCTGTCTTAATTTGTTTACCCTTAGAGGTGTAGCTACAAATAGTGTCATACTCGTTGCCAAAACAGTAATGATAAGAAGGTTAACTAGTTTGCTGTAATACATAAATAGAAGTAAAGATAACTGTCACACCATGATATAGCACATGCTATTTGAACCTGTTATGCTCCAAGAGTCTCAGTGAAACTGTATTTTTTGTATAACAGTGCTGCCAACTGCAAGGAAATATATAATTTTTCTGCTTGCAAGAATGTCTACATGAGTATTTTTTTTTACTAACCTAAAAGCAATTTACACTCTGTTACTAATCCTGCAAATGCGATTTTGAAATGACTGTGTACAGAAATATTTCCTAATTTATGAGTGGCTCTAATAGGAATGCCATGGTTTTGCTATCATCTAATGTTTATAAACTTTGTAGTGTGGATTATGCTTTAAATACATTTTGTTTGTACTAAGAACTATTGCTGCAAGAAGAGATTCAAATGTTTAATGTATTAGTTAGATGCTTTTTTCCAAGTGTTTGTCGTGTCATGCATGTTAAAGGCCAGAAATGTCAAAGTGAGCTTCTGATGATCCTTTGTATTTAGAAACTACACCAATTTGTTGCTAATAATGGTACATTAATTTCTGAATTGCTTGACTTCTCTTCAGGAGCGTGGCCTGTTCTTATAGATGATTTTGTGGAATATGCACGACCAGTAGTCACAGGAGGAAAACGTAAAACTTCCTAACCCCAGACTTATCAATATGGACTAAATGTGCACTCTGAACTGCATTAGGTAATGAAGATTTGTTGACTGATAACTGTGCACAGCGTTGCTGGTTTCAGTGGTCGTGATGACATTCTGCAGACAAAACTGAAATTCTTCCTTTCTGCCTAAAGAAAATGATGGCTGACTTGTGGACACTGCAAGAACAAACTCAGAAGATAGTCCAGGCTGTTAGTAGGCTATTGGCTTCAATTATTGTACTGGTTGTATCATATAGGATGTAGATTTTGCATGATTTTATACTTTGGAGAAGTTTAACTAGAGGCCATTTTATTACAGTTTTGACAGCACAGCATGCAATTCAGTTCGTGATCCAAAGTGAACACCAGCAGTTACATAAATAAAACTGTATTATATTGTACTTATATTAAAAGCAGTATTTGTGGTATATAAATTAAATCCCTAAATAAAATTTATGCAGTATGTTGTATTTTTATAAAAGTTAGTTCTGTGGATTTGTCCTAATATAGAATTGTAGCAAAACAAAAAAACACTTATGCTTTTTTTACTTATTGCCAAAATTTTAGATTTTATTTTTAAGTCCTAGATGTATAGGTTGATTGCATCCGGCCTTTTGTTTTCTGCCAGTGAGATTAAGTTCCTCATTATTCTTCTTGAAGTGCTTGGACATGTAACAGTAGCATTGCTGAGGAAGGGCTGCTGCTCTATGCTATGTTGCAACTCCAGCTTTTTTTATTAACCATTTTAAAGTAGACATTAAACAACCAAAGATGCTTCTATAATTCATGTTTGATTATCATAATTCAGTTAGTCTTCAATTATGTGTCTCATTTACTTTATTTTAAATAATGAACTGATGGAATATAACTTTTAGTTTTATTTGTAGCCTGAAACATATCGTAAATTCTAGCCAAATGCAACATAGTTATAAATGCAATTTCTGGCACTTCTCACAGAAAATAAATCTGAATAAGCCCAAAGACTTAACTAGTTGGCTTCCACTTTGGAGAAATAGTTAGGGGTAAAGAGACTTGACATTATTGATGATAAGCATTCATGCCTCTGGATGTATTGTGGATTCAGTAACATTTATTTAAGGGAAAAAAAGACTAAATTAATGCAGTATCATTGATCTCAAGGCTAGTGGAGCTGGACTAGTTTTCACCAAATCTGAATTTGTTGTCATTTGTTTCTCCCCTTTCACCAGCTATCGATTATAAAGCGTACAGAGGTCAGTCTCCTGTTTCTCAACAGCGTCTCTTCCAATGGCTAAGCACAAAAGAGTTTTACCAGAAACTATTCAACGCGTCTTCACACAGGGCTCTTTTAAATGCTACCTCATCAAAATGAGTTTGTCATAGCCACTGTAAAAGTTTGTTAAAACAAAACAAAGAGTTGCTAAAGAGTATGTACAGCTATGATCAATATATTTTCTGTAATCAGAGCTCAATAGATGCATTAAGTTATGTAATTTATATCTGTTGGATCACATCAGATCATTTAAGTATTGCATGACAGCATACTATTTTAGTTTGTAGTTGTGAGGGTGTAAAAGCTTACAGTATTCTCTTAAACTCTAATATTTAGAGTTTCATATAAGCAGTCAGCTTTCATTATGTCACTGCAGCCTACAAGAACAAATGTACATGCTGCGTACAGAGAGATTACCTTCATTCTTCCGTTTGAGAGAATTTCAGTTGTGCATGATGTTTAAAAAGCAGGGTTAGGACAAATTTGAAAACAATAGCAAATTTTCTGTTAATAAGAATATAGCAGGCAAGTTACAAATGCCCCAGGAGTGATTTATATTAGTGGTCTTTTTACCCTAAGCAGTATTTGTAAGTCTTAGATCTTGCATGGCACCCACTAGATGTCAGCGTCTCAGTCTTCAGCTGCCTCTCTCTGCTGCGTAGAGTTAGGGAGTAATATTAAGCCAAATTACTACTTTCTGACTACTTCTTTTTAGAAGGGCATTTGTGTACAGAAGTCCAGGTATTCTACAGAAGTCAACAGAGATTTAAAAACAGTATTATGCTCTTTTTAATGCATTTTATTTACCTACTCTTCCTTCCCAAAACAAGCCATTTCTGTATCTGCCCTGTAGGCTTTGGAGAATGCGTAACATCTCATAACATCAGGTGCATTTAGCCAGCCAAAAGCGGTGGAATGCTTCTTATTCACACAATTGCCACTTAAAATATATAGCTATAATATAACTGACCAGAAGTAGTTTAATCTATTGGTATGTGATGTAACTGAATAGTTGTATAGCGCCAGAGCTTGTGAAACATTTGTTCATGCTGAGAATTCCCTCAAATCAACCTGATGAACCTTTTACCTTTTAAAATAAATAGAGCATAAAAATGCATGTGGGTTGAGGTTTTTTGCCTTGTTAATCTGAGGAAGAAGGAAGGTGCTTAGCACAGTGTTCAGTTTCTATATATACACACTCACTTACTCTTAAGCCTCATTCCTGTGAGGATCCTTCACGGAAGACACCTTCCAAGAGAGAAAGACTGGGCAAAATACTCTCAAGATAGGAGCTGCTCCTTATCAACCAGCTTACTAGGCATAGTATACTTTTTCTTTCGTCCTTCCTAGTCTTCTATCCATTTGAAACCATGTACGCATTTTACATTCCCATAAATAATAGCGTGGAGTAACACCTTCACACTTGAGCAATCATAAAAATAAGTGTAAATAAACTGCTTTCAAATGATGACTTCCTTATGTATTTTAATAATTTGCTACTGTCCACTGTTCCACTTTACAGGGCACTCTGACTCGCTTTTTAGGTAAGCTAGTACAATGGTAGCACCTAGGCTGGTCAATTTATAATCAGAAATGGTACAGATGTCTCCAAGTTGTTCAGTGCATACAGTATTAGTTCCTAGATACGCTGTATGTATTTTTAAACTTGGTGCCAAGTTTTACATCCTAGAGTGTTTGAAACTGAGCCATAGCATTTGTACTTGCCAATTCTAAATTTAAATGTAATTTGTCATGTGTGTCATGCCAAGGAGAGCAAACCTGCAAGCATCTGTTCATTCAATGCACCTGAGAGATTTGCTGCTGAGTAAGCTGTACGTGTGTAAATTTTGTGGCAATGGAAAAAGGAATAAATGGACTGTCAACATAAAGGACTGAAGTCAGTCATGTGAGATGTCTGTATGGTTTTTGTCAGCTTTCTGCTTTGGAGACCTTGCAAAGGCTGGTGGTTTTTTTTGTTTTCTGGTTAATTTATTAGATTCTTGCATTATTATTCCATCAGTCAGAAGAGAGCAAGGGTAAGGATGTAGCTCATGAATTTGTAGCAGTTATAATAAATGTCTCTTTTGCTCATCTGTGCCACCTTTAGACTTTTAAGAAGCTCACTGTGTTTAGCTGCAGTGCTGCATCCACTACATATACCTGCTAGCGACCAAACTCTCTGCAATTTGTGTCATTAGTTTGTACTGGCAACGAGAGGTGTAATTGCAGGGAAGGTCTTGCTCAGCCCTAGGCTCTGAACTCTGTAGGAGAAGCAGCACGCTCAGAAGTCTGTGCAAAGACCTTCAGAGGTACGTATTCAACTGCCCTTAATCCTCTTCTGAAAGTTTAAATCACAATAAATAGTTGTCCTCTGCACTCTCCCAGCTGGCGTCCCTCTCCAGCCTCCTTGATACTACGCTCAACCAGACTGGTGGTTCAAGTGGTTCCCATCGCTAGTGAGCACAAGAGCACCCAAGTATCCCGGTGGGTGAGCAGGCACAGCAGTGGAACTACTTGTCCCAGTCCTGTAAGCAGATTGTTTCCCCAGCCACTGGCCACTTTGGTATCACACGAGTCCGTCTTCCTTCTCCTATAACAGCGAAACTGCTGGTGCTGGTAGTTGAACCATGGCAAGCTCTTTTCCTTCCAAGTGTCGGCACCAGTACCTTCCCTTAGCTGATGCCAAGCAGCAGCGGGCACACCAAATGGCACAGCCCTTCTGAAAGGGAAAAAGTGTAATGTTTTACAACCATGAGACCTTTTTTAAAAAAATATTCAACAAAACATGTTTTCTGACCTTTGCACTACATATGGTGTGCTGAGTAGAATTAGGTGAGAATGACACACCTCTAAAATGGGCTTTTTTGTTAAAACTGTTGACAGAAGGGTTTGCAACTGCAGCTACCGCTACAACCACAGGCAGAAAATTCCATATTTCAGACAAGTGGGTACAACGTTCACCTCTTAATGAGAAAGGCCTGAGGAAGCTTAAGGGCATTCAAATTTTGATTAATGAGTGTAATTATTGGGATACTTCCTCTTGTTGGTTTGCGTGTATGCTTGACAAATTCCCATGTGTTTTTTTTTCTCTTGTGCCTCTCTTACAAGCAGTGAAATAATCTACGTTATGCTATTTGTTGTTAGGCAAACTCTGTAGGCTTCATGTCATGACATAGGCTTTCTGTCAAGAGGGTAAAGAAGGAAGAAGTCCATGCTGCGGTGTTAAAGGAATATTTTTCTTTTAAGGCAGTGGTGTAAAGCGGTGTGAAAATGATTCATCCCTATAAAGATTAAAGAATTGAGTAAAAACAGTCTATTTTTTTCCTGGATCCCAATGAATGTGTTCAATAATTAGTATAATTTCTAAAGAAATGATCCTGTTGCCAGAGTGAAATCCTTCACTTCAGTAGTGGCAAAGATGCAGCTCTGACAGAAGTCTGACGAGGTTTAGTGAATAGGCTCAAGTCTAGCCAGGAGCTGGAGAGGAGAATGGAATCGTTGAGGAGACCCATCCGGTATCAGCCTTACTTTTCCAGGATATGGCTCTGCATCCTTGGGATGGGTGAACTTGGAATCAAGAGCATTTCCCTACTGAGTGTCCTGGAATGGCAGAAGCATCACTCGCTCACGGGTGAAGTACTTGGGGTACAGTCTTCCTCTTTTACTTAAAATGCTGAAGGGCTTGTGGTGACAGAGCAGTCACAGCCCATGCTCCCTTTGCCAGTTCATCTATTCATAAAAGGCGACAGTGCCTGTATAGCCCAAGAGCCCTCTCCTGGGCGGTGGAGGACATTGATTCGCATCCCCTCAGGTGGAGGAGGCAGGTGGAGCCACGTTTGCTGAAGGCATGCTTTCATGTTCTCACGTAGGGTTTCAAATGCAGTTGAGCCGAAACAACAGCGTGTTGCCACCAACACAAGTCTTTTCTCTGTCCTGCCTTCCCATTCCTTTTTTTCTGGATTCTCCCCATCTGAAAGCAGTCATACGTACACTAATGAGAGGACACCAAAGCTGCATTTTTATCTGATTTAACATTTACCAAACATTTCTTGCCAGCTCTACTTAGTTTTTTTTCCTATTGTGAATATGTATATAAGTGAATACTTAGCCATCTTAATGGAGTGACTCTATTTTGGCTGTGTTTAAGACATGCAAGTATGATATTTTACAAATAATTGCCTCTTTTGGGGGAGTAGGGGGGAGTAGTGCCTAACCTACCCCTGCCCAGAAAGCTCACAGTGGCTGGAAGTACTGCATGAAAAGGAGATCATGTGCAATTAACAAATTAAATAAAAACTAAATTCTTTGTTGCGTGTTCTGTTTTGCAGAGTTGAAAAATAGAACTTCTCTGTAATTTTTTCTGGGTTTTCATTATAGCCTTATTTCTAAAGCCAAAGATTTTATTCCTAATTTGGGCTGTGTTATGAGCAGCCAAGTGTGCGTGCAACAGGGTAAAGTCCACGGGAGGCGAAAGGGCAGTGCAACTGCCAGCCACATTCAGGAGGAAGAGATAAATGGAAAACTAAAAATAGCTTTGCCCATTTTCAGGAAGGAACCTTCCATCTGATGAGGCCCTTACTAGCTCTCCGTGGTGCCCCAGCAGGTGATTTCTCCTGTCCTTGCTTTGCAAGATCAAATTCCCATCATGTGCTTCCAAATCATAATGCTCTGCAGGATTAGAGAAGGGGTGGGTGCCTCAGAAGGGTGCATGGACCTGTAACGGAGACATCGACATCAGTGCTTCTGCCTGGTGTGTTTTTTGTAAGCTGCATTGGCCTTAGTTTTCCATTTTGAGCGGCCACTTTCAGACACGTGGAACCTGAGGTAACTCTAAGATTACCTCTACGTTGCCTAAATGCCCCGGTTGTGGGATGTGATGTCTGTTCCCCTAGCCACGCAGGGCAGAGGGGCTGGTATCCTCACTGCTCGTGGCGAGCCAGCTCCAGAGCAGGCTGGCCACAGCCCCACTGTAGAACACTTGGCCCTGCATGTCCTCTGGTCCCTACATAATGCCCCTGGTATCCTAAGGCATAACTGCCTTTTTTTTTTTTTTTCTTTTTCAGTGCAGAGTTGTTCCTTCCTGGCAATGAAGACACGCGCTCAGTGTCCTCTTAATACACAACACTTCTCTTACCCAAGTCCTAATCTTTAAAAAACCAGTGTACTAGCAGAGGCTACTTTCACCACTTTGGCACCTTAATTCTTATAATGTAGAATAGGGATGGTGATGCTTATCCATGTTCTGAAACTGCATTAAGGTTTCCTGTGAAGTACAGTGATATTTCTACACGTCAGTAACTCAGTCTGTGATTAACTGCTTATCGCTCTGGGTGATAGGAGGATGCATCCTTTACACTGCTGGCCTCTTCCATCCAAACAGCAATCAATCAGTATTGCTTTCTGACAAAGATCAAAGAAAAACAAAGACCTTTCCCCAGGTATCCTTTATGAAAATTACAGTCAAGCCAATTAAAGCTTTCTGTTTATCTACCTAAGTTTATATTTACATTTGCATTTCTATCTGTAAAGTAATTTGCGGGTCTTTAGGACAGCATGAATGGTGACTCAGAACCATGATCTGAGTCAGTCTCAGCAGACCCCTTGAAGGAAGATGTTGAGCCTACACGGAGATGTGTTTATGGGCAAAATACGTTTAAAAAGCTGCAAGACTACAGAGCCCCTCCTTGCACTGCATGGCAGAAGCACAGAAAAAACTGCAGTAACAGAATGAAGTACATAATTGCACAAGTATCAAGTTTGAAAGGATGGTATTAATAAAGCTCGGTTCTTACTAAGTGGGATTTCTTCATACGTGAACTTTCTTGGACTCACAGGATGCCATTTAAATGCATCTTTCAAAACAGTTTCCTTCCAGAGTCCAAACGTGGGCTGCACCTGAGCTCAGCCTTAGGAAAAAGTCAGTCTTTGCCAGGGAGTAAGAGGCGTGGGATTGAAGCTGGTATTTTGCTCAGTGTTTATCCAGGGGTGCAGTGAATTAGGAAAACATTCTTGTAACAGGTGGAAAGGAGTAAGAAAGCTGTTGACATAATACCGCCGTAGGGCATAATTAGAAGTGGGAGAGGTTGTCTGCATTTGACTAGATTTCTTACTGCCTAACCCATCATTCTAGTGTTTACAGAGTTTGGAAACTCCTTTTATCACAGGCTTTCCTTCTGACTGGTCCCTGAAAGGGAGGCTGACTCCAGCATGTCAGAAAAGGGCAGGAAAATAAATTAATTTACAAGTTATTAAATAAATAAACACCCCTGTGAGGCATCTGTTTTTCTGGGTGTAGAGTTACTTACGCTGGGTAGGGCTAAGGATTTCCTGGCTTGCTTTACGCTGGGTTGCAGAAACGAGGCTTTTGCGCTTGGCTTTGCGGGTCCGCTCTTGCGGTTTCATTGAACAAAGCCCCTGCAAAATCCCTGGGTTATGAAATATTTCCTCTCCGTCAGGTCCCGGACAAGAGATGGCATCTGCAGAGCCAGAAAAGGAAGTCCTTACCTTATAGAGAGCGCTCTCGGTGTGACACAATGGCTGATATAAAGTGTCGGGGGAGCTGAGCCGAAGGCAAAGGAACAAAGGAAGATCAAGATTCGGTGGCTGTCTCGGACAAAAGGAAGGCGGAAAGTGTCTTGGGGATGGATAAATTCAAAGCTGCGCTTGTGCTGGCTGGGGTAGGGGATGCTCTCGGTTATCGCAACTTCTCCCGAGAAAACAATGCCTTAGGTGCAAAAATCCAGCAGGAGCTGAAGGAAATCGGAGGGCTCGAGAACCTGGTGCTCTCTCCCGACAAGTGGCCAGTAAGTGACAACACGCTCATGCACATGGCTACAGCAGAGGCTGTCATCACAGGTAGGTACGCCAGGACTAGTGAACGCAGCCTGGAAAGGAGCAAAACTGTCGACCTGCTGCATTTCTTATAATAAGCCTGAGTGCTGGGGAAGGCATGAGAAAATGTGTCAGAAATGCTGCTTATGTGAATGATAACGTGCATTAGCTTGTCTCCCCCATGAGCGTAATCTTGCGACCATCACACAAACTGGGGAGTTTTGATTTCTTGAGTGTGGAGGAGCTCTCCCTATATTTTATCTAGGTTTATACAGTTGGTTAAAGTTTAAATTTTTGTCCATAATTGCTAAGTAGATTATCTGTATGCTGGAATACATCAGGGAATAATATAGCCACTAGAAATTCTTCCGTAAAAGATAAGAGCTCTTCCAAGCGCATTTTTAACATGTTTACGTTCAGAACTCCAGGCTGGAGTAGAGTCACCTTACTACCTCTTTCAGGCTAAAATCACTAGCGCTGCCTCCTCTTTGCTGCCCCTCAGGCAAAGCGTTGCGCCTGCAAGGCCAGAAACGGAACGATTTGCTTTCTAAGGAGAGCTCTGTGTCTTTAGTCCAAAAAGTATTCTAACATACTATGTTTGTAATAAAGTCTTTCAGAATAGTGGAAGTTATTAATATACGTCTTCTAAAATCACAATAGTTTGACAGAGAACATTTGGGTTTTCTTAAGGTAGGAATTGTCTTTTGTAAGATGCAATGGTATTTATATCGACACCCTACCCATTGAACTAGAGCTTTCTGAGACTGTCAAGATTATCATCAAAAGTACACCAGAAGCCAGTGACCATTCAGCAATATTTTGCCTCTTCAGAATGAATCAAATTTTTTAATCTCTGTAAAAATATTCCTGACTTCTCTCAACATGCGTAACACTGGATAACTAACAGTAGCAGAAGCTCACAGTGTAGCTAAGTATCCTTCACGTCAGTGAAATTTCCCTTGTGCTTCTGTTTTACCGCTTTATCTGCCTGCTTCCAATCTGCTCTAAATTTAGTTCGTGGAGATCAGTTGAAGAGTGTGTTGGACACTTCATGCTTGGCTATCAGCTAACCAATGGTTTAAGGGGTAGCTAATACACTAAAGATAAGGGTAAGATGTCAGCCTATCAAGAAAAAAAGATGACTAACACATTTCTGAATATAGGCTATGATTAAATACATATCATATGTTTCTTGCTTATTGAACTCTCTAAAACCATAACTTCTGGGTAATCAAGCCAGTTAGACTAACAGTGAAATAATAAATCTTATTTCTTAAATATAGCAGGAGCACAGTGGCTCTAAAGAAAAAAAGTCTCAGCTATAATTCCCATCGGCTGTGTTTATCCTACACTCTCATTTCTTTGGCCTGATCAGACAAGCTTTTTAAAAAGGTGCTTTTATGGGCTGGTGAGAAAGCCACAAGCTGGTGCGGGGAATTTTAGTAAGAAATCTTCATTTTGTAGTAACATTGGTGAACGCGGGAAAGCAAGTCCTTCTCTCTGCTTCCCACAGGGAAACAGAACCGCTCCTGCCCGCAGCAGTGTCTCTTCCTGGCAAGGGGAGCACAAAAAAGCCACTGGGCTTGGTCATAGTCCAGCCCGTGTGCAAAATCACCCAAGTCAACAGAGTTAAAGGAGGTGAATGTGGGTCCGTGAAGGCTGAAGGCAGCTTCCACCAGCCCTGGGGACCTGCCTTCCTCGTGGCGGGGAGACCTCGCTGCTGCGTAGACTGAGATTTTAAACAATATATTGGGTGCCTGCAACATTTCCAGACAAAAAAAAAAAAAAAAAAGAGAGAGAAAAAAAGAAGGGGGATAAGCAATAAAAATATTCCTGTCCCTCACTGCCCTGCTCCCCGCACATCCCATTCACCCGGCTGGCCGCCCGCCGGCTGCAGCATCCCCCGGGTGCACACCTCCAGGTACATGCGGGATGCTCGTGGGACGGACATGCCCCGTGAAGTCCCATCACCAGGGCACTGCCCTCGGGGGAGCTCCCAGTCCGAGGCTGCGGCAGCAGCCAAGTGTGAGGCGGAGGTTTGTGTTAAGGACGAAGGCAGTTCTCACCTGGGGAGGCGATTTTGGCCAGCGCTTTGCCAGCTGCATGGAGGACATCCCAGGAGGGCCATGGCCAGAAGCAGCGGCAGCTGCGGGCGCTGCTGCAGACTAAGCTGGCTCTCCCCAAATCCACCATGTGCACAGATGGGAAGGTTGATCCCACAATGAAGGATAAACGGGACGTCTACTTCCGGTAGGAATCTGTCCCATAAGGGAGGAACACGAACAGCATCCTTAAAAGCAGGGGAACTACCCCCGCCACGAGGAAAGCCTTTTCCTCGCTGACTTAAACACGGATTTAAAAAAGATAAGGGTTCATTTCTAAAGAAGGAACCTGTCCTATTGACTTGACGGGTGAGATGGCAGCCTGGCTCCAGCTGCGGGAACCGTGGTGGGCTCGGGCAGCCCCCAGCTGCTGGACCAGAGGGACTCTGGCTCTGGGGACAAGGCTTCTGCAGAAGCTGCCCGGCGGTAAATCCTGCTCCTGGCTCCCATCCGGATAAACTGACACCTGATTCCTAAATCTGGAAAGAGTCAGCAGCTTAAAAGTATCTTATTCCTCTAGGATTGTATGTGGGATGGCCAGCATAATGGATAGGGTATTTTTTTATGTGAAAGGAGGGAAACCTTGGTTTTACCCTGCATCTTCTTTATTCACCTGTCTGCCTAACTGGTACCTTCGAGTGGCTCTGGCTTACAGGGCTCCAAACTTTCTCTTAAATTAAACCTCTCCTGTGGATTTCAAGAAATCACCGATCTTTGACAAAATGAGGATATTTTTAGAACTTCCCCTGCTGTGTCATTCCATCTGTGAGTCAAACGAAGTATTAAACAGGGTTTCTCGAAGTACATAGAAAAGATATAAATGGACAAATCCCGACGGCCTCCTCAGTTCCCACTGATGACACAGCTGTAATAGATGCCAGTGGAAGCTTTTCCTTGGCAAAAGCCGAGGGCAGGGCTCTTCAAGCCCAACAACACACAGCAGCAGCCGAGAGAAGCAGCTATACCGAAGAAACAGTATATGTTTAACAGGGGAAAGGTTCCTCCTTAGGCAAGACTGTAGGCCTTAGTAAAAATAATCAATAAACAGATATTGCTAGTGAACTTATTCCAGAAAGAAATTTATCTGCTGGAAATACTACAGACTGTAGGGATTTACTACTTTTACTGATCTTTATTACCATCCCTGCATGAAAAACCTACAAATTTTAGACAAAATAAATACAAAATACGGATTAAAAAATAAGGTCGCTAATTTGCTTTTGTGTTTAATCATACATACCTCTTTAAAATAATTCAGTGGTAATTTAAAAAAAAATAGGCTTTCATTTTTAAATTGGATTCATGTCTGCAGATGACGGCAAAAGCACGGGCTGAGCCAGGCAGAGCTGGCTTCATGCGCACACCCAGTCCCCGCGGCGGCAACACACTCACCTTCCAGTTAGACACCTCTGTAAATACTTCACACCACGGAGCCTAAATAAAGCCCCTGAGCAGCTACTGGTGATGGACAGAATGCCTTCATCTTTCTGATTAAAGGAATTAAAAGTGGAAAGGAAAGCAGGAAAAGATGAGAACAGAGGGACGAGGCTGTTGTCCCTGCAGCCCGCTCTCATGGTGTGTAAAAATGTGTTGACAGCAGCACCAGAAACACAACTCGGTGTAATGGAAGTGGAAATAGGAACATTTCTTAAATGCACAGTGAGCTTGCTTGTTTGTTTTCAGTGTTCTCTTGCTCTTCTGCCTTCTCATAGCGACCTCCTCTTCCCTCCTCTGAGCAGATTACTGGTGTTTGGAAGACCTGTACCGGGAGCTGGTAAAACGCTACGTGGATGCTATCGACAAGCTCTCGGGGAGGCGGCCAGACCCCGCTACCATCGAAGGCTGCAGGGAATTAAAACCAGACAACTACCTTCTTGCTTGGCACACACCATTCAATGAAAAGGGTACGGTACCGCTTTCCATTTATAGATTCTGGCTTGAATAATGCATGCTTTCAGCGTTTGTGGCTATATGGAAATTATTTCCTTTTCCCCCTGACATCAAAGGCTACTACCCCTGAAACGTTTCCGTGTTTGCCTGAGGATGGCAAGAGACCTGCCAGGAATTCCTTCTGTAGGGCACTATGTCCTCTCGTAAATGAACCCTTCCCTCTTTAACATCTATTTAAAGAGACTTTGTTCTTGGCTCTGTGCCTCTGGGTCCAGATCTTTGTCCCTGAGTTTAATGGTTATTTTAAGAAATATTTTCTGCCATTTTTCGTTTACTTGTTTGTAGTCTTGAATCTTTTCAGCGATGGCAGATCTGAAACAAAAAGCCGAGCCTGTGAAACGCTCTATGCACCAATGTGTTCACTGGAGGAAAAGCAGAGACTTTTCTCCAGGTGGATGCCCTGCTAAAAACTATGACTGTTTTGCTGATAATCCCTAATATTCCTAGCCCTGTTTCCCTATCCATGACCCTCTCTTTCTTTCTCTTTATGATAATTTCATTTTATGATGAATTGAATTTCTGCTTCAAGTTAAATAGCATGCGTGCAGCTATGTGCACACACATACGCATATACCCATACCCATGCAGTGCAATTAATCTTGAAAGACTGCAGCAGCACCACATCATCAGAGGAGGTAGACCTGGACAGCCAGAAGACGATGGCAGCTCACACGGACATTGCGCTCGTTAGGTGCGATGCTCTACCGCTGCAGTACGTATCGGCACCGCTCAAAAGCGTTGCATATTGATGCAATATCGTGGCAAAGACCCGGTGGCACAATGCCATGGCTATTTCTGGGTCTCTGCCATCAGTTTTCTCTGACACAAAAAGCATCCCTCACTCAGACCCCGCTCCTCACAACAGCTGCTTGGAGGGAAAAGGATCCCCTCCCTGTTTATTCTGCCCTCCCTGTTTATTCTGCCCACCCTGCTATTAGCCAGGCAGATCTGAGAAAGTGCCCCTTTGGCAGTTGTCATATGTTTTCTGATAGACAGTAAGTAAAATTTGATCAAAATAATTGTGGGAGCTGCTGCTGGCCCTGAGCAGCTCTCAAGACCTCCAGCAGTGGAGCATGGCTGTTCCCTGGCCCGTTGCTCTGTTGGAGCTACATCTCTTCTTTTAGCCTTCCTCCTCCCCATCTTTCCATGATGAACTGTTTGCTTGGGGATACTCTGGGCTAGAAGGATCTAAAATGAATTCCTGCCTTGAGACCTGGCAGCTAAAGCCCACCTTCTCCATCTGATCTGACAAATATCATCCTGAACATCTCAAGACGCCTTTTTTTCACCCTGAGAGTAAAAGAACCAGCGACCTGAGGTGGAGATGTTCAACCTACTGCAGGACTTGACACTGCTATGGACATAATTAACCTTTTATTTGAATTTTCACAAATTTCTTCTTGAGACAAAAACATTCCACAGGCATTGAATGCCTAGCAGTCGGATGATATCTTGGATGGCCTGGAACCAAAATGCTGTTTTCCTGTAGTCGTTCTATCTTATCTCACTTCTAGCAAGAATTCATGTGCCAGCCTTCATGGACCAGTGAAATCTTAGCTTAGGTAATTTTGCATTGCTTATATGATGCTCCTCTGCTCAAATTCTTGTGGGTGTAGTCAGAACACTGAGTTCTTAAGTCAAGCTGCCCTGTGTGTCTCTGCCACTTCATGTCATGCTCATTGTCACACTCATTGCAGAGGTACTCGGATTATGTTGAAGGCTGGTGAGATTCCTGTGACGGCCAGAAGACCTGCCCAAGACTGTCTAACACCTTCCATCTTAAGAGCTTGTTTCCAATTTATGACATTGATAAGCTCTAGGCTAAAATTTTCACCGTTGAGTGTTTGCCTCTGTTTGTCTGTCAACCTTTGTCTAAAGTTTTGATGCAGATGAGTCTGCTGTTTCTGAGACATGGTAAAAACGTTTTGTTCCGTTGCCAAAACCTCAAATTGTTCAGAAGAGAACTGCTGATGTTTGAGAGCTGGAACCAAAATCTGAGTAAGGTGGTACCCCTTGAGCCAGAGATGTGCCTTCGGAGCCACGGCGAAAGGGCAGTCAAATGGCAGCTTGGCTCTACCTCCATCGTGTGTATTTCAGGCTGAGGCTGCAGCATCCGTGCAGGTCTTTACTTGCATCTACTGGAGCAGCTGCTGGGCTTCCTCGTAGCACTTGACAACAGTGCCTTTTTGCTGGTGGCATTGGTAGAGGAGTGTGAGGAAACAGTGTGAGTTAAATGCAGAAAGTTGGGGGGCAAAAATGAAGAGAATAATAAGCCACAGATGGAGAGGAGATAAAGGGGCCAGGCTCTAAGTTCTCATGCAGAACGGCCTGTAGTCAGAAAACACACATCCTCTTCAGGCCTTGGCAGCCATTAAGCTGATCTTTATTATTCTACAGATGTAGAGTGAAGAAAAGCACACTGAGGTATTACATACTAAAAGAGAATAATGTAGTGCATGAGTGAAAATGATGCAATAAGAAAGTGTCAACACAGCTTTTGTGACAAGAAGTCACACCTCGGAATTCTATTAGAAAGCTCATGAAGTATCCAAGAAACAGGAGGAAAAAGGAGACACTGTGAAGATGGTCTGTTAGGATTTCCAAAAGACTCTCAACAAGGTCCCTCACCAAAGGCACTAAGTAATGAGGCACTAAGTTGCTACAGGATGACAGAAAGGTTCTCCTGAGGATAGACAACTGGTTAAAAGACAGTAAATGAAGAGCAGGAGATTGCAGTCTGTCTTCTCCATAGAGAAGACAGACTGCATACCTGTGTTGGACCACTGTTGTTCAACATGTCCACAAACTATCTGGAAATGCAAGTGCATCGTGGGTCAGCAAAGTCAAAGATAATATGGTGCAGAGTTGTGGAAGATGCTCACGATGATGAATAACTGTGCAGCACAGTAGCAGAACCAAATGCAATGCAGATAAATGAAAAGTCATACGTGGCAGGGGGCGAGGGGGGAATCCTAATTTTATATACATAGTTGCAGTTGCTGATTCAGGTACCGAGGGAAGGGATTGTGGAGCTATAGTAGTTCTACAAGAACGACACTTCAGTGCTCAGTAAGAGCCAGAAAGCAAATAGACTATTAGAAATGACTGGGAAAGGATCAGAGAACAAAACACAAAACATATTTGCAGCAGTGCATAACTCCATAGCTGCTGTTTCTCGATTACTGTATATAATCTGGTCCCTCCCTCCCCCCAGAAGGATGTAAGAGAACTAGAAACAATATCAGGAAGGATGGCTGGATTAGTAAAAAACTGCTTCCATAGGCTGTGATGTCTGAGACAGTATGATAGAGAGCTGTAAAGTCATAGATAGCTTGGAGAACATGAATAGGGTCAGAGAAAACTCACTGTCTCCTCCAGCACAGGAACTAGGGACTTCAAATGAAACTGGCAGGTCATGAGTTCAAAGCAAGCAAAACGGAGGACTTCTTCACGCAACACCTAATGAAGCTGCACGACTATTTTCCAATGCCAATTTGCAGATGCTACAGTTCATGTGGGTTCAAAAAATAGCTGGGCAAATTCACCTAAGGAAAATTCTTCAAGGGTTATTAAGCAGAAAGATGAATAGCCAGCTGCCTCCTGGATCAGGGAGCCAATTGTCAGCAGCTTCATAGTACAAAGGGGTAGCATCACTGTACTTTTCTTTTACTCTTTCTTAAGTACCCTCTCCATTGGCCACTGTCAGACATGATAAGTTAGGTCGACCTTTGATCTATGTTCTTACACACGTGTCTCACCCCTTGCTTGGACTAGTCTCGCTGTCGCTTACTTCATTGATTCAAATGGTAGATACTGAGACATGGGAGCTAACAGCTGCTAATCACCTGAAGCCCTGTCTAGGCTTAATGTTACTCCATGTGATAAAATTTTTTGTTATCGAGTTTGCTTGTCTAATTCTGTGGAAGGTTTTAATATAAATTCCTAGACTGGAGGAACACAATGAAGTTGCAAAGACCAGCAGTCCGATTACTGTAGTGCACCCTCCACTTCGGATATACTAAAAGATGTTATTTAATTAACAGCTCTATGTAGCGCAACACCCTTCCCTCTTGGATAACCAGCATGGATCATGTCCTTTCGAGGAACCAGGACTGCATAGTGAAGAAGACTCTGCCATAGAGCAGCAGGTAGTTTAATGAAGAGTTTGGTCTTGCAAGCAGGAGAAGATATGTTCTCCCAGTTAAGCTGACTGGTGCTCTGGAAGACTGGATTTCTTTCCTGACTCTTCCTTGTGGTTTCTATGTGATTTGTGGGATAGACAGACAGTTTTATCTGCTCCTGTCTCCTTAATAACCAAGCACTACAGCTGCAGCACATATGAGGTACAGGAGCAAATACACCATTTGCAGGACAAGTGTCCAGCCTCTTCATCAGGAGCAGTGGCCAAGGGTGTCCTGAAGAGGGTCTCTTTCACTAGTGTCAAGAAGGCTAGCAAGGAGGAAGCAAGCTCTGAGCTTGCGGGGAATAAAATGGTATTTTGCACAGCCTTTCATGTCACATTTATCAGATGTTTGGCCTTTTTTAGACTGCCCTTGGTGGTTAAACCCACTGGAAGACTTATTGCATGCAAAATTTGCACATTGGATTCTGAGGAGGAAGAGAAGAAATGTCTTCACCTAACTAATTAGGTCACCTAACCAGAGTGCTCATTGAGGATGGCTGCTCTCTGGGGAGAAGAATAGCTCTTTGAGAGAGAGAGAAATTCAGATTGGTCTGTATTGCACCTGCAGATGCCAATGGGTGGCTTATGTTAGTATTAGACTTCGGCTCAGGCAAGAACTTTTGAAACAATTCTTCCTGCCACCCCCACTACCACACTTTGATCACACTCATGATCCTAGGAGACCTGAGCTGAAGCCGCTTGGGATGACACTGAACAGCAAGCAGTGCTCCGGGAGAGCCCCTGGTGCTTGCAGCCACAGTGGGCACAGCCCAGGGGAGCTGGGACGACTCCTCTGAAGTTAGGTGACTAAAAGCCCTGACCCTGGCTCCTTGGCGTCTGCTGCTTCAATTCACTCTGGCCCATGAATTGCTCCTAGTATGCCATCGTACTGGTTAATGGAGATACAGCCTTTCTCCATGCTGCCTGTCTGGCAAAGCCGGGGAGGCTGTGCTCCTATTGCAGGTTCCACAGATGCTAAAATTAGGTGGCATAAATATGCCCCTTATCTTCCAGGGACGAAGTAGAGAAATGCTGATTGCTCTCAACTATACCCAAGGTCACTGCTAAGTGTGATTGAGCAAAGACAGTGCTGAAAAATGCCAAGTACTTTGAAAAATCGAACCCTATCCGTCTCAGGGTGGGTGCCTGCAATGAGTTAATGCTTTTTCGGGCATTGGCTTACCAGCTGCAAAGAGGAGATAATCACCTCATTGGTGCCTTGTGAAGATAAGCTCATTAAAACTTCTGCGGGATCCTGATATTAGTGTGATAAGTACTGCAGAGAAACTCATTAGTAAATTTAACTCTCCATTCAATGAAGTGTTTAAAAGTTGAATGCCTGGGATCATGCACTCAATGCTGAGGATTAAAAGAAATACTGAATTAGCTATTCAATAAATAAACCCCATGCTGCACAAGGCAGAAATTCCCAAGACCAAGCTGAGTAAGTGCAGGCTGTACCACAATGAGAGTGCGCACAAGCACTGACTTCAGGTCGCACGGGAAACCTCAGTTCTGGTGCTGCCTAACTTTGGAGATTTTGGCTCCGTAGCCTTTAGTTTCTTTTTGGACACATTTTTGTATGTAGCAGAAATTGTTTTGTGAACTACCTGTGGGGCTCTCTAGGATGAAACATGCATTAAAAGTGTAAGATCGACTGTGATACTCATTTAAAGTGTTTTAATTACGTGCTTTCAGCACGAAGACTGTGATACTCTTTTAAAGTGTTTTAATTATGTGCTTTCAGCACGAAGACTACAAAAATAAGGGCGTAGTAAAAGCGTATCTGTTTCTCAAACTTCTGCTTCTAGTGCTGACACCCGGAGCAAGCAAAACAGTGGTGTCAGCCAAGAATGAGTAAAGATGGCATGAGAGTTTGAATCAAACAAGTGCTGTGAACAAGAGAGCACACTGCTTTCTGAACCCGCTGTGCCCTTCGTAGTACTTGAGAACATTGGAACATACCTGTAAAACCAGAATGACTGTGTGGAAGCAAAAGTCCTTGCAAGAAACTTTTAAAACTTGTAACTCGCTTTGCATGCTAATTTCCCGTTCCCTGAGGAGTTCCCACACACGAGCTGAATTAATAAAATGTGCTTGTTTCACATTTTATCAATATATTTGGATCATTAGTCTCCTTTTAAATGCTTGGCATTATCTTTTTACTTTAGGTTCTGGATTTGGAGCATCCACAAAAGCCATGTGTTTAGGGATGCGATACTGGAAGCCGGAAAGGCTGGAGTCACTTATTGAAGTGAGCATTGAATGCGGACGAATGACACATAACCATCCCACAGGTAATGTCCGCTGACGTCTCGGCGCGCTGAAGTCCCTAAGGCTGCTTTTCACTTCTGCGGGGACTAACGCAGCTCCTGTGAATTCACCTGGTTAAACTGCTTCTGCTTTGCAGACTCCGAGGCCTTGGTTTGAATTTTGCTTGGATAATATATACATGTATTTATTACTTATATAGGCTTATGTATTTGCTTGTATATTATGCAGACAGCAACCTCAGGCACAGGAGTTTTCCCTCCTAAAATCCCAATAACTAAACACAACCTGTCTTGTCCAAAGCATATTCCTGTCACTTGCCCTGATCAAATTTTAGGATTCATGTACATCTAGATGACTCACTGTTATCATGCAAGTGCATGGTTCAGGGGATAATAACATTTTTCTCTTGACAGGTTTTGTCATATCCAATCACTGTAGGTAAAGGCAGAAAGACAAAAAAATCTAACTCCACATATTTTAGGACACAATCTGAAACATTCTCTAAACAAAACATAAATAAGTAAATTTAACGTTGTTTTGAATATTCAGGCTGTCATTCTGATAATTTTATGCTACGTAAGCATGTATTCATTCTGCTTGCTTTAAACAGCAATAAATAAAACCATAATGAATGGTGACATGTTCAACATGCGCAGTGCTCTGAAGCAGTCAGAAAAGCCATCAGGATGGCATAAAATTAGAGGAAAAGAATTCAAAACAAGGCAGAAAATATCATTAAGCCAAGATATAAAGTCCATGGTGCATTAGCAGCGCTAAGACTGCTTACAGTCTGGCTCTCCCACCTCAGAAAGGACTTACTAGAGCCAGAAAATGGCAGCAAGGAGCATCCAAGTGGTCAAACACCTTCCATGCAAGGAGAAATTACATCCAGAAGGAGTTTTCAGCTGGGAAAAGAGACAAGTGGCATGGCGGGGGGGCGGGGAGGAGAGGGGTGGAAGGGCCACCATGGATCTCACTACCATCCTGAAAGGTGCCAAGGAAACGTCAGTTGTGATTCTCATAACTCAAAGACTGAGAAAACCCAACTGACGTGTCCGTCAGACTGAAACAAACAGACCAAGGAAATACTTCCCCGTGTCGTGCGTAGTTAAGCCGCAGACCTCGCTGCTACAGGCAGCTGCAAAGTCCACAGATACGCCTGGGTTCAAAGGGGATCAGGCAAGCGGACGACAAGGGCTGTCGCTGTTAAAAGCAATCAAGCTGTGTGATTAAAATTATCCCTAAGCTAGTCTAGAAGCTCTGGGGAGCGGAGGAGCCAAACCAATTAGGCTCACTCCGTCCTGGCATTATTTGCAGAGCCAGAAACCTCGGCTGGGGCTTGCTTTCTTCCCTGGTGAGGGGCAGCAGGCTATGTGAGGGCTGCCGGGGGTAGGGAGAGCCGGGCAGTAGCAGCAGGGGAAGGGTGCTACCTGGGGAGCGGGCAAGAAGAGACTGCCAGCCCCCTGAAAACCTTCTGGGCACACCCCAGCCTCTACCACCCCCTGCGCTGACTTGTCCCGCTGCCCCCTTTGCTTCAGCTTCTAAACCCTCTGCTGCCACCCTCACGCTGAATGTGGCATTCAAGGATCTTTATGGCAGTTGGGTTAGATGCTCTATCCTAGTGAGACCCTTTGAGCTGGCTCTACCAGTTTTTTTGTTGTTTCTGAAAGCACCTATTAGATCCTGGGTTAGATGTGCCTTTGGCCTGACCCAGTATTGCAGGTCTTATAGCAGAGAGAATAAGTAATTGTCTCATCTGGACTTGTAACCTCCTAAAATAATTTGGTTTTACCTTCAGCAAAACACACGAAGTTCATGCTTACCTCTATGCATGAATGAATGCTTTTGGACCCGTGCACCAAGAGAAGCACACGCATCAATACTTTGCTCACCTGGGGCTTATCTAAATGTCTGAGTTGTTCTCGTAACCTTCTGTTGCATGTTGCACTGGGTTGGTTTCCTTGCATTTGACAAACAAGAGCACAAGCAAATATAAGAAACGAGCCCCTCTATTTCTGATGTCATGGAAGTGTTGAGCACCCATTAACGAAAGTTCATCTTAAGTATATTTGTACCCAAGGTGGAAGACCTTGCTAAGCAGGCAGACAGCATGTCCTACTTGGACAATTGTTTCTTTCCTCTAAGGGGACATGGACTTGTCCCCTTAGAGGAAAGAAGCAATTGTCCAAGACAGACATGGACTTGACTCCTTAGAGTAAAGTGAGCCAGAAATAGTGTTAGATCTAACAACTACAGCCCTTGAGCTGGATGACTCTGTAAGCAAGGTGATATAGCTTGTAATTGAATCACTTTGTGGAAGTCAATTATTTCATGTGACTTCAATTAGAAGATTTTCGGTATCACATTAATGGATGATGTTTATTTTTGACCCCTACCTCAATTTCTGTCATGTTACACCACTGAGAACAGGAGGTCCCTTCTATGTAAAATAGCTTGTAAACCAACGGGCACCACGCATTAGCCAAGAATCTCAACATGCCACGAGCCAGCCTGCAAAGAGGCAGAGATAGGTTATGTGCATTCATTAATCTATCCGACAGCCATGAGGCATTCCACTAATGATTTTACAAAGGACATGACAAGGATGTTAAGAGCACAGACCGCGCATTAGTGATCATTGTTATCTATGAATTCCAGGCTTTCTAGGGTCCCTGTGCACAGCTCTTTTTGTGGCGTATGCAATACAAGGGAAACCCCTTGTGCAGTGGGGAAGAGAGATGATGAAGGTTGTGCCGATGGCTGAAGAATACTGCAAGAAGACCATTCGCCACATGGCAGGTAACGTGTCTGAATCAAAAGAGTTGTTTTCTTAAAACTATGTTCAGCGAGAAAGACGCTGAAGAAACGTCACTCCCCAGTCTCTCCATTTTGCTGCTTCCCTCCCTCTCCCGTCTCCACAGGCTGTCCTCCTGCTCTCTCTGCGCAGACTGTAAGCCCTTCGCAGGTGGTGCCACCTTCTTCTACCGTCCCTTAGTTGCTTGGTATATTGGTGGCAAAAATACAAAGAGAAATAGCAATGATAATGCCCTACTGCACAGTTTGATTTTTAGAAAGTCTTGGAAGATTGCTGGGCAGGGGGGAGTGAGGAAATGATATTTAGCAGGTTATTAGGCAAACTGACTGCTGAGATATGAATTATTCAGCTCCCTTCCATCAATTAGCACAGTCCGCTATTTTCCATAAGAAAACTCATTGACACTCCTCATTTTGCCAGGAAAAGTTCACCTGTGGATGCCTCCTGACCAAGAGTTAGCTTTTGACCACAAATTCAGGCTTGACTTGTTGCTTTTCTGAACAAATATTTAAGGTGCAACCTGTTGTACCCTTGTTTTAAAATAACGGAGCGTAACACAACTAATGAACTTGATATTGCTACTTTAGTAATGTATATGATCTTCGGTGCAAAGGTATTTTAGTCCCCTCTTGCCAGGGAGTGATGCATTTGTAACGGTGAGACCTGCCATGGACAGATGAGTATCATTATATTAAAACATCGAGGAAAGAGGTTTTTCTGTTAGTCTCAAGGGACGGTTGTCGGGAAAGATTGAATTCAACGGAAATCTTTGCTCAAGAGCACTCAGAAATGAAGATTTACCTGGGAAGGAAAGCTGCCGCTTTAAAATCTGAAAGGAGCACCAGGGAGCCTTTCTGAAAGACCCCACATTTTCGTCTGCGCCTCATTGCGCACCAGGATTTTTTTAGCCGAGACCTATGAGGAGCAGGTGCAGGATTAGTGTGAGCGAGCTCCTCTCCGAGTGGCTTTGCAGCAGGTCCCTGTCATTCCACCCCAGCAGGACCCCTCGGCGTGGAGGTATGCGCGTTGGACTCCTGAGGCATGCTTTTTTTTTCCGGCCAGTGCCCGTATTGTTGAGCTTCGTCCTATTTTGGTAGCGGGAAAAGTCTCTTGCATTAAAGTTAAGCTCCTTGGCTGGTGAGATGCACTGCAAAGAAATCCTGCCAGACAGAGTCCTCCAGTTTTAGAAAACTTTTTTAGCTGCGTTATCCCCCGTGGATAACAAACACAGCGTTCAGTCGCGCAGGGCTCGACTCAGCACCCCTCTCTGATACTCAGTTGCCATTACTTGCCAGATAGTCTTATGGACCTGAATGTGACCGTTGTCTCAGGCTGGGCTCAGGGGACGGGGCAGAGCCTCACTAGGGCTGGCGACGTGGGATTTCTGACCATGCTACAGGTCATCCACGCAACCAAAATCTCCTGCAACTGCTTGATCCCTTTGTTTCTGGGCCTGTGCATTGGAATAATCACAATTCCTTGCTTGTTGAGGTGCTGCATAGCAAACATTCATTTTTGAGGCATTCATGTTTTATGGTCATGGGGGAAATAGGAGAAAAAAACACACAGAAAGACGCCTGCCAGGTCACCTGCGTTTCTAGAAGCAGTCTTGTAACCAGCTGATGGAGTGGGTGTCGGTAGTTTACTTCAACCAACAACATTTTCTTTTGTGTGACTTTTTTTTTCCTCAAGAAGTTCTCCTTGGCCTGACGGCTGTGAGTGCATTTTCACCCCGTTTTTCTAAACACCTCCCTTTTTTTAGGGTTCTAACGAATGGCTTCCTTGTAATCAGGCAAAACTGGGGCGTGGACTCAGAAGAAGGGCAGCTGGGCATTCCCAGGCGTACAGGGCCACGTGGCTGAAGGCTCATCCCTGCCTGGGGCTGGGGAACGGGCAACTTTGTGAAAGTATCGGGTCCTACAAGGCAGCTTGGATTTTTTTACAGGGAGTTGAACCGCTTTAAAGATCTTAATTGCCAAAGAGGTCATCTGTATGGCATTTTAGGAAAAGAAGCAAAATCAGATTACGTCCTTCAGAGAAACGGTTTGGTTGTGTGCATGCTCCTCAGCCACTTGCAGCACACAACTGAGCAACCAAGCGGGACAGAGCCAGGGAAAAACAGCGACACTTAATTTTATTTTAAACTGTGTGCCAATAGTCCCGTACTGCATTGCTAGTTTGCCTTGGCATACTTAGCCATCTGGTCCATCTCACTGATTTCTGATTCCTTACCCCATCCGCTTCCCAGGCAGGGTTTCACTCAGGCCTCAATTCTGCAGACGGGTTCGTGTGTATGTGCTTAACAGGTCAGTGTGACTTACGTGCCTTTTTAAGCCTTTATAAAAAGGTTGAACCAGAGCATTGGCTTGAAAATACACTGAATTTAATAAGATTATTTACATGAGCGAAGTTAAACATGATTAGAGATGCTCTTCCTGAAGTGACAGAAAAAGGAGAAAGACCTGTGGTTATTTAAAAAGGCTTATTTTTATGGGCACAGATAGCAGATGTGTGTGTTATTTATCCCTTTTACTACATTTGATATGTATTATAATATATGTAAATGGAAATTTTGGCCTTTACTATCTGTCTTTTCCTGAAAGATCACACAGAAATACTGTGAGAGCAGAACAGAAATACTGGAGAAATGATGTGATTAAAAACTGGTAACTGAGGTGGGAGGCAATTTGTATTTAGGACATGTAAGCATTTTTAGATATTCTTTAATCGCAGCAAAGGAATACGAAAGTTGGCATAGAATTGATTTTTTTTCTCTCTTTTTGTTGACTCTTATCTTTTCCTTGGAGTGTTCCTTACTAAGTTCTCCAAAAATCTCATCTTGATGTATCTCAATGTAATTTTAATATATCATAAAAATAGCAGGAGATTCTGAAAATATTACCTTCTTTCACATTTTCTGTTTCCAGTTAGATTCCCACTTCATATTAAAATGCATACCTAGTACATATGCCTGTTTAACGTACGTTACTGTAAAATACCCAGTTTTTCAGGTCAGTCAATACTGTCATTTGCTTTAAAATTTGTTTAAGTAGAACTGCAAATGTTGCTGAGATTAAATACTACATCATTAATTTCTTTTGCATTCAGAATATCAGGAGCACTGGTTTTACTTCGAAGCCAAGTGGCAGTTTTATTTGGAGGAGAGAGAAATCAATGAGGAAAATCAGAATAAACCTGTCTTTCCGGACAACTATGACGCAGAGGAGAGAGAAAAGGTAACTGCAACTTCAAAAAAGTGCTCAAAAAGGCTCTGAACTGAGGGTATTTTCAATGAGACACACCAGTATTTTTCGACCGTTTCCAGTGCCAGAGCAGTCAGGAAGTCTTTATTTTTTTCTAAAATTTCAAGAAAGAAAAAACAACTCCCGTCCTTGGCTGGAGTATGTGTTAGTGTAAAAAAGCAGTTGCCTCCGGTCCTGGGGTTGCTGCGATGGGAGGAAACACTGCAGAGAGAAGGACTTCATGGTCAGATGCGTTGACGCCCAGAGCAGGTACAAAACATAAGCCACGGCTATTTGAGGGTGGAAAAGGCAAACGTCTCGCCGGGGGTTCTCATTAAAGCCTAATGGAGCTGTGGCCCGAGTCCCACAGAAATCCCCCCGGGGACTAGGAGCTGGACTTGGTTACGGTCCTTCGAAGAGAAGACAGCCGTCCTAAGCAATTCTCTGCCAGTGCAGGCTGTGCCCAGGGTAGTTTTAAGTGTCTCGAGAGATGGTGTTTCACCACGTCCCATGGGATACTATTTTATAGCGTACATGATCTTTCCTTTGCCTCATGACTTCTGGTTATATCTTCTTAACTCAAGAGAAATAATGTGTCTTCTTCCCTGGTGTTTACAGCTTTCTGGTGTGTGCTGGCACCTCTCAAAGCTCTCCACTTAGCAGCTAAGCAATAAGTATGTGGTTCTTGTCACCTTTTCCCATAAATCAATCCTTTTTTCCAGACTATTAAAGCACAGTTCTATTCTGGGAAGTCACTTTGTGTATTTTTAGGTGCTCATCTACACAGTGAAAAGTGTCGGTGGAAGGTAGATTGACTGTGGATGATAAGAAATTGCTCATTTTAAACATAAAGAATAGATCTCCTTCCAGTTTTATTTTATTAATTCAGTGCCATGAACTTGTTACTAGTTTTTTGTTCCTTCCAGTTCTACCAGAGTCTTAGCAGAGCCTTAGGAGAGATTAAACCCAATAGTGTTTCCCCATGATAATTTCAAGAGAGAACTGCATGAATTCCTCATGCAGAAACAAAATTTACCGTCATTACCCTAGCCCAACTAGTTTGGCCTATTGAGCTATTTATTTTGGTGCACAAGAAAGGAAAATATTGCTTGACCCTCAAACTCCACCGCCAACCAGATATACCAGAAGTCGAGTGACTTAATTTGCTTATAAGCCGAGCCTGTTAATAGCCATGGAAAGAATAAATGAGGAGAAGGTAACCATCCTGCCTGCCTTTTTTCCAGGAGTGCTTTCCTTTGCACTCCCTCAAAATTAACTGGCCTCTTGTGTCTGGAGGTATAGCCGATTGCCTTTCTACAGGCAATTAATAAAGCACCAATATCTGGCACCACTCTTGCCAATAGGTGTATGCATGTTCCTGCTCAGCCAGGCGCACCTTTCTGCAGGCACATACCAGCTGCAGGAGATGTGGAAGTGAAGCCTTCAATGTGGCTTGGATTGATCTGATTACGTTGCAAAGGCAATTTCCCTCTCTAAAAGAAATTACACGCCGAAATGTTAAGCAGCAAAGACCACATTCTGTATAACCAGGTATACAGCTTAAATTTGGAGATAACTAGAAGTGTGGCGGTAAAAGACAAATTACCCCTTCTTCAACGTATAAATACAAGACGGGCCAATGTAGGATAAATCATTTTTCAGTGATACGCATTTTGAACATGTTAGATACACAGCGAATAGGCAGAAACTGCACTGCACTCGGGATCAGCCTTGCTTCTGCAAATGAATCACTTGCCCTGCTCGCTTTCCTGGGCTGGACACGATGCACAACAAAACGAGAGGAACCAAACCGAAGTCATCCAGGCCAATTAGATTCTAAGGATCTCATCCCTTTAAGATGCAGTTGCTTAAACCAGCACTGTGAAGAGACCCAGAAAGGGAAACAAAATGGATGGAAAGGGAGTGCTAGCCAGCAGCGGGTCAACTCCTGGAGGGTGAGGAAGTCAGAGGCAGCTGTAATTACTGACCGCAGGGGTTTACAGCAAGGAGGGGACGTGCGAATTACCTCCAGGGCTTGGCAGCAGCTCAGTGCTTTCAGCGGGAGGGAGTGCGTGTTGAGACCCCCGTCCATGCACTCAGTGCTGCCGCTCCTCACCCGCCCGCCCGGGAAGGGAAGCTGGGCTGGTGCCACATCGCAGGGCTGCACGAAGGTGCAGGAGTCGAAAGGAGGTTGCACTTTTGAAGTGTTTGAGAAATGCTGCCTTGGTGCAGTTAAGTCCCCAAAGGCTCGGTCCCGAGGACGGCTATCCTGGTGTAAAGTTGCTTCAGCAAGGCGAGATGACATCAGATGTGTGCAGAGCATCAGCGTTCTTAAATGGAGCGACACTTGAGCTGCCGGCCTGCGCGCCCAGAATAGCACCTCCACGCTTAGTCCTCTTGCCTTTGGTAGTATTACACGTGTGTCAGTGTAATACCACCAGCATCCAAACTGCAGCAATAAGGCTGGGAAGTTTGCATGTGTCCGAGGACACCATAAAGACATAAATATGCTCTCTAGATTGCAAAAAAAAAAAAAAAAGAAAGCAGCAGAGTGAAGCTGTAGTCTACCTCTGCCTTGTTCGATGTGTATGCAGACAAACCACAACCAAGTATGTAATGGCTGAAGTGAAAGTGAACAGATAGAAATGCAAACCCTTCATACGTGTTGCAGAAGCCAAGAGCCAGCCAAGTAGCAACAATTCAAATTACCATAATGTAACTTAAACTTCAGGAAATAAAGCTGTCCATTTCCTTTAAAGGAAGGTATTTTTTTACTATAAATGTATCAGTGTTGAGTTCATTTGGGGATTTTGGGCAGGAAAAAGTGAGCTCTGGAGGTACCTCCTCTAGAGAAAATCCAGTTTTCCTTTGCAAAGGGGGTTTGGGTTTTTTTTCTTCTTTCTTCTCCTGGGGAAGAAATGTTTCTTACATTTGCAAGTTATTTCCCCTCTTGTTCAGTAAATGCTTGTGGAAGAGGAGAGGAAGGGTTTGGCAAGAAAAAGTCAGAGAAGGGGGCTTGAATTAACGTAGTCTGAAATTGAGCCCCTGAAGAAATTACCAAATCAGAAATTTTTCACCCCCCATGCACAACTTGGCTAATTGAAACACTTGCAAACGTGTAACAAGGGGAGTTGAGAATATTTCCAAGAGGCAGGAAGAGGACTGGCAAAGTAAGTCCTTACCAACCCTGATTTTTTAAATAATAAGGAATTTCTGGGGTGTGAACTTGGAATCTATCTTGATCTACTTTTTGGCATTCTTGGCTTGCTTAAATGAAGCCAAGTTCTTGGCCTGCCAAGAGCTATTCCCGCCTAGC